TTTTCCCCGCTCTCAGGGGTCCCCCAAACACCAGGTGAGCCTTTTCCCCGCTCTCAGGGGTCCCCCAACACCAGGTGAGCCTTTCCCTTGCTCACAAGGATCCCCCAAACACTAGGTGAACTTTTCTCCCACTTGCTGGGATCCCCCACCCTTGGTACAGATAAGGTGCTCACACATGAAACAGGCTTTATATCTTTTCTGTTTTTGTGTTTTGCATCTAGGCCTTCTTCATTCTGTTCTGCAAATCCACATGGTTTTAAAACACCTTTTCATTTCCCCTTGCCACCACCTTTGCTAGCCCATGCAGAACAATGTACCTGCACTAACTGCTGTTTAGTCACAGAAATTACCATAAAGTGCAAGGTTGGACTGGTGGTTACTGTGGTAGGAGAGCCTCTAGTTACCTTCCTCTCACTGAAGGAGAGTCAAGCACCCAGAGCTGCTCAGGAAATCTTAACATGGATTCCCTACCTTCCCTTGTCTTTCCTCTCTGTCTTGCTTTTGGGTAAACAGAAAGGATGTCATTGTTGAGTCAGATGACCATCATCTGGAAAAGACAGAGTGGGAATAAAGGTTTGATGAGACGTTGGGGAGGAGGAGCTGCTTGAAAAGTGAATGGCCACGGGTGCAGGCATTTGACATGCTATCACACAGGAAAGGCTTTTGACTCATTATAAAAAGGAATTTATTCCCGGAGTGGTGACGCATGCCTGTGATCCCAGGACTCAGGGAGGCAGAGGCAGGTGGATTTCTGTGAGTTTGAGGCCAGCCTGGTCTACAAAGCGAGTTCCAGGACAGCCAAGGCTACCCACAGAGAAACCCTTTCTCAAACAAAACAAAACAAATACAAACAAACAAAAAAAAGGAAAGGTGTTTATTAGGGGAGGCAGTGGCAGAACTGTGAGTGTGAAGCCAGCTTTGAATACATAGAGCAAACCCGTTTCTTCAAGAAATAAAAGAAAAAGATATTTAACTTAGCTGTTCTATGACATATGCCTGACCTTTGCAGTGTGAAATAGAGCTCAGGGCATCTGATTAGAGGATCCTGAAGACTGACCAGGGCTTTTACACCCAGTTTACTCTTAGCATCACTCAAAATCTCTTAAAGTATTATGGAACACTTGGAGGCATTCTTTTATTTAAAATACTGTCAAGCATCTAGCAGTTGCCATTGAGATATGGTTTCACATGGGAAAACATCATGAAGAAAAGGACTTGGACATCAAAATCTGACTGGACATTTCCACGGGTCTTCTGTTGCTCTGTTAAAGGTGCACGTATATGAATTTTTAGATTTTTAGTTGTTGACTGGCCTACCCAGTGTGTGATTTTAGGTTATATCAGCTATCCTTTTTACCCAAAAGTTTTCTATTATAATAGAGGCTTATGTTTAACTGAGAGACACTCTTGGCAAATCTTTACACTTACGAAAGATGATACTGATTCAGAAACTATCTGTGGATATTTTTGGTCATTTCAGAGGTGAGATATGTCTATAACTTAAGGGAAAAACAATTTCTAAATCTACGAGCATAGGACTCCTTCCTTACCCGCCTTCATGTTCTCCACAGGATGAGACACAAAGTTTACCACTTAGAGCACATGAATGTGGTACCTCGGCCTTCCCTCTTCCACGTAGGACACCACAGCACGTGTGCTTCTGTGCCGGTTTATGCTAAGTCACAGTGACTTCAACCAGGAACAATAGGGAAGTTCTTGCCTTGTATTCAGTATTGTAGGCTCAGTTTTCATACGGGTCGAACTGATGTACGAATCCAGGATACTCTGTTCTCGCACTTTTGTCTTTCATTGTTTGTCTTTCTTCTCGGGGCCACAAATGGGGTTTTATTGCTATATGCCAAGGTCGAGCTTCTGGAACACAACTATTTAGCTCTAGTATCTTAACCATTCTGTATTTTCTCCAGGTTGTGCTAATTTGACTGATTATTGTATTGTTTTCCCCATGTCTCCTGCCTGTTTGCACTGATAGTCTGTTCTGTTTCCTAGTAGAAGTGATTTTTCTTGCTTCCTATAAATTACATGTCATCTTTTATTATAAAAATCCTCAGTTTTGAGTTAATCTTTCCATTCTTACATATTTTAGGGTCATTAGAGCCTGCAGTGTGTGGCTTGCCATTTTCTTTCTTCCTTTATTCTCTCTGGTTCCCCCCCCCCCCCCCCCCGGGAATGGCTGGCTTTCTAATTTAAGGTATGCTCCTTGCACTTAAGAGTTTTTCACAGATCTTACTACTATCATCTACGTATGGCATGCCTCCATCTGTATCTCCAAGTCTACTTTTAAACCTATATGCTTTCATTTCAGGAAAGTTCAGAAGGGCCTGTAGCTCAGGAAGATTCATCCCAGTGGCTGTGAATGTTGAAGCTCAGGAAGAAGGGGTCGGAACTTATCTGTTTGCTCTTAGCAGAATATGGTGTGAGCCCAGATTCAGACAATATTTTGAAGCAGAGGCTTGAGGTCTTCAGAGAAAACAGTGTTAAATGGGGCCTTCTCAGACCCTGTGTGTGGGACAAATGATACTTTTATCCTGTAGTCAGATAAAGGCTGTGTTGTGCTCAAGTTCCTGCATAGAGTTTTTCATTCTCTGTGAGTCTTCTACCACAGTCATAAAAGCTGAGACCAGAGAAGACACCTAGAGTACCATGAGGCCCCAGGTCTGAAATACTTGTTACTTAGATTTGGTTAAACAAAATACTCACTTCCTACTTAAGACTGATTCATGGATCACAGAATCATTTAATCATTTAATACCCCACTTCTTCGGACATTGGTCCTCTGTGCCTCTCTGACACTTGTCTAAGTTTGTTGAGCTTGTATCTTCATGGTTCTTTCTTTTACCCCCTGTTCACTGATTGGCACTTCCCCCCATTGCGTTCAGGTCTCTTTTCTCTTCGTCAGTTTTGCTCCTTCTTGTGTGTGGGACACTGGAATGAAATGTATATGAATGAAGTGGCATACAGACTGAGATGCATTTTCTTGCTCTGGGCCCGTTGAGAGCCCAGATCCTTCATTTAACATTGTTGATGGTGAATGCTGCATGGGCTTTTGGCTTAGCATGTGATTATAAACATGTACCAAATTCTCAAGGATGCAAATGAACTAATGAAAGAATGAATGGATAATGTATCTCACACGTAAATTAAATATGACCAGAGCTGAGATATTTTTCTTTAGTCATGTTTCTCTTATTTCTTTTTTTCTCCCATGCTGATAATCCTGTGTACCTCCTGCTCACAAATGTTAGATAGAAAGCATGTGTATTTACTGGACATTTAAAAATCTTATTATCCAGAGTTAAAGAAATACCTTTTACATGGCATTTACTATTATAACAAGTAGGTATGATTTTCTTATGTATCCTGGAAGGTCATCCATTTAAAGTGACTAAGACAATGAGGAATGGAGCCGTCCCAATTGTGGGACTTCCAGCACCTCTGTGCTACCAGCGTATGGCACACATGAGGCAAGGGAGAGACCCCTGGGTGGGCTTACAGGACAGCGTATGTGGAGAGGAATGGGAGACAGTGGCGAAGGTGGAACATATTCCATAGTTCTCTGTTCTCTGCTAGCAGGAAACTGTTCACGTGACAGGGTGATCACTGGGATGAAGTTATCTTTCCCTTCTTTCTTTGCTGTGCATCATTGGCCCAATCCACACCTGCCGCTCAGTGGTCAGTCCTTCTCTCCAAGTGCAGGGTCAGCTGGCCCAAGTGGACAGTCAACACTCTTAGTAAAAACAGGTCCAAGTCCATGGCCTAACTGAGGTGGAACTGTCCCATTTCCCCTTTTGTTCTCGGGGGTTTTTCATTCTGCTCAGCTTTTAAGTTCTCCCCCACTGTAACTTGCGTCAGAATATCCTTCCTAACTCACAGTGACTTAAGGTTCAAGACTGTTGTGCTACATGGTTTCCTGAAGCTACAGCAAAGTACCCAAGCATGAGAAATCTATGTAGAGAATAGGTATATCTTCCTCAAGGTTCTAAAGGCCAGAGCATATGCTGCTTGCTTTTTCTTAGCCTCATGCTGCATCTTCTAGTGGTGGGAAATGAAAAGGAAAGGGAGAGCACGCTGAAGAGCATGTGTGAGATGGCAAAGCAGTGTGGGTAGCGGACTGACTCTCTTTATGAACAGCCAGCTTTCACAACCGTTCATTTGGGCCCTTAGATTCAGATCAGCTCAGAACTAACCCAGCCTTTCAAGAACCTTTGTGGATGTGGCCCTCTGGGTGCTTAATCACCTCGCTCTAAGATTCTTCCTCTAAGAGGTCCCTTAAGTCTCCGTATGTTAGGTTGGAGAGGAAGCTCCCAGCACTTGGACCTCTGGGGACAGACACCTACACCATTGCATATGTATCAACTTCCTTTGTGTCAATTTCTTCTTGAAACCTAGTTCAAGCCTTGCTTCCCTGCCTTCTTACCATCACTCTTCTCTACCATGTTGTACCCTGTATGTTGGTTACGTGCCTTCTGTCTCCCATGCTGATTAGACTGTGAGTTTCAAACGGGCAGTGAGCCCTCTGTCTGTTTTCATATCTCCTGGGCATATAGCATGTAGAGATTGAATACAATTTGAATTGGAGGATAAATGTAGAAGAGCCCTTTGGTCCAAGAAACTACCCATAGAGAATGAAGGAAGTGGGAAGGCAGAGCAATTTCCTGCATCTGCCGTGACTAGTACAGGACAGAGCTCCTATGAAGCACAGGGTTAGACAAAGCTCCTGGATAGACTCTCAGAGTACCGTGTGTAGAAAGGAGTCAAGAAAGTGGGAAGCAAAACTGTTTAAGTCAATGTACAGATACAGTTGAAGGAAAAACTGTTGATTAAAACACTAAGTGAAGGTCAGACTTCAGGTGTGTGGTTAAATTTTATTCTGGTCTGTGAAGTAAGCAGTGAGAGCCATTAGGACTAATTGGAGCCTATGTTTATAGAAATGCAAATGTAGCTTTGCATCGACAATAGTCCTAAACCCGAGAATGTGGAAAGAGGGCTGTAACTGAAATATCATTATTGTCTTAGCCCTGACCCCACAGTTGTGGATGGAGCGCGGGTGTGGTCTGACTCAGAAGCTAGTGGTGTAGCAGAATCCAGGGTCCCTTCCTTGCTGGGTCTGCTGGAAACCTACAGATAAAGTTAGGAAAAGGAAACAGGGTTGTTTACAGTTCTGACTGGAGGAGGAGGAGAGACATTCTAGGCTTCTCCCAGAGTTGCCTATAGCAGTGGCATTATTTACAAGATGAAACAAAAGCCAGGAGGCAACACCTGTGTAGACTTGGCAGAACTGCACAGAGGCCATTTTCCTGGAGACAGTTTCTCCCCTCTCACCCTTCAGGGTACTTGATAGAGAAATTCCGATACTTCACGGCTCCTGTTGGCAGTACTTTCCTGCTCCCTCTGCTTTTTTCCTAATAAAGGCCACATTGCTAAAAAGAAGAAAAAAAGGTCCTTCTTCTTTGTGTCCCCACTTCCACTTTCCCTTTTATTGTTTGGCCTTTATTCTTCTCTTACTTTTCCTTTCTTCTCTATGCTATATACAAGTGATTATTCTAGAAAAACTGGAATATTAAAGCATAACAACAACAATAATAGTAATAATAGCTTTCTCAACCCTGGAATTTTTTTTCCACTGAGCACACTTGGCCAGACATTTAGTCATAATTGGAACAAAGTTATTCTTAGTCATGTAGTTGCTAACATCCAGAAATTTGTCTTATTATTCACTTTACATCCATTCTTTTTCCAAAATATTCCTTAGTGTTCACTTTTTTCCCATCCCCATGCTGGCTTCTGTGATCTATACCCTCACACTTCATCCTTGCTAATAAGATAGCATTCATTTTCTTTTCCTTAACTTCTTTTCCTCTTTTTCACCTGTTTGTTGGCCATGGCACTTTAGGTATTGCTAAGAGTGTGGTTTATTACACACGCTGGTGTAACCAGGCCCTTCTAGGACTCCTGCCTTCTTCACGGCCTGAAACTGTACAAGACACTCTCTAATGAGCAGTGGGCCTTTCCCATCAGCCCAGTTTCTTGCAGCAGCCCTACTGAATGACTTCCAGTTTTATAGGTGTACTTTGTTTTTCTCAAATTATCATTTTTATTTTGGCCTTGAACTTCTTTCTGCCACTGAGGCCTAGATGTCATGAAAAGAAAATAGTATTTTCTAGCACTTCTGTATGTTGTGAGCTGTAAAGTGGTTTATGTTATGGGAAAGCTCATTAAAGCCTTGGCTTCGTATTTAGAACACAATCTTTAATAAATTCAGTGTCACCCTCTTAGCTTATGCAGTTCTTTTTCTTCTTCAGGCTAGAAACCGAGCGGGTAGCATCCCTGTCTTTCCCCTTTGATTGGAATCCATGTCAGAGTAAGGGCTACAGAAGATATGGACGTGTAGACGATTAAGGATGAGGGCTCTGCTTGGCTTTGTTTTGTTATTTCTGTAGGCTGAGAGCAGTATTTATTTTTCAGTTTTTCCTGGATTTTACCCTGTTGAAAGCATGGGGGTGAAGAGAGACCTCAGACGTAGCACTCTTACACATGGGAGGGATGGTGGGAAAGGAGGTGCTGCAAAGGCAAATGTCCCAGAGCGGGACTTTTTGTATGAAACATGGAGAGTTGTCGCTAAAGGTTTATGGTTGAGGAACGCAATGAGAAAGACAATGAAGTCAGTTTCCAAATGGTGAAAGTTACTAGGATTTCAGCCATACCTGGAAGTGTCCTAAAAAGTGGTGCATATAACTGCGAGCATAAATGAAATGAAGTTATAATTTGGGAGTCTCTTCTATTCACCCTTTCCAACTCCCAGATGAATTACACAGAGACCTATATATTTATTAATAAGCTTTAGGCTTTAAATGGGCTGATATGAACCATTCTAATCCTCTAAGGTCTACTTTCCAGCCAAGCTCCTTGAGTTCCTTGCCATATTGGTCCTGCCTGAGCTGTTTCTGCTCCATCAGGTCAATCTCCACGACCACGTCCTTTCTCTCCCTCCTCTTCCCCTCATTGTACCAACCTGAGACCCCAGACTGGGAGGGGGTCTATCTGTCTCCTCTGCCCAGTAACTGCTTGTCCAGTTTTTTTGTTTTAATTTACTAATCAGAGCTATTCGGGGAACAAAGTTTACATAACATTGGTCAATGCACGTGACAATGTCCTCTTCCGGACTGCAACCATATTTTGGGGCACATAATTAGGACCTGAATATTTAGCACCCCAAACCAACCCCCAACACTTAAGCAAAACAAAATGGTAAAAAGTAGAGAGGCACATTTGTCAGCTATGTAGATTAAGTCATATAACACCTCAAGGGGAAAAGAAAACAGTGGTGTTGCTTAAGTTTAGGCAGTAAGGAGACAGACCCAGCATTTAATTCACTAAAGACTCTAGATGCTGCTTTTCTAGGATGAGATTCAAAACCAGGTGCCTTGTCCTCTTCAGGTCACACAGAGCCTCCACTTCTCTGGTTGTTTTCCAAAGCACTGCTTTCCCTTCAGAGTCCCCTGACTTGATGGCTAGAGGAACAGAATATATATGAAGATGTAAACTTGATAACTTTATTCCTGCTTCAGTGTGATTACTCATCTGCAGCTTCTTCTCAAAGGGATGGCATCTAAGTATTTTTCTGCAGTGAAAGTTATGGTCTTGTGTCTTGCATTTTAGGACCAGTGATAAAAGGAAAAACATGGCCAAACAAAAAGCTGAGGCTCAAAGGAGGCTATATGGTCAAAATACAATAAGAAGGCCTTCACCAGGCTCCTCCGACTGGGAACAGCAGAGGCACCAGCTGGAGAGGCGGAAAGAAGAGTTGGTATGAATGTTGGGCTCCGTGTGTGGGCTTATTTAATCCTGACTTGCACTGTGGGGTAGAATGAACCCGTGCTAGGCAAATGCTCTGCCACTGATCCACATCCCTGCCCGACGTGGACATTTTAGCCACATACCTTACGGTTTGAACCACACGACTAATCACGCTTTATTTATAAAATCTGTTCATTTTTAGAAAGAGAGACTCGTTCAAGTACGAAAGCAGGTTTCTAGAGAAGAACATGAAAACCGCCATATGGGGAATTACAGGTGACCACAGCTATGTTTTTACTGAGCCCGAAGAGAAGTCTAGCAATGTTTTTTTCATTACCAGCCTTTTCAGCATATTTGAAGTACTGTGGTTCCTTTGCTAGAAACAGCGATTCACTCACTATGTTTTAGGAGAGTAAAGAGGGTCTATTGGTAGATGATTCTGGCTGGAGGCAGCTCTTGCCAGCTAGCCAGCTTCTGCTCTGCTTAAGGGGGGTTTTAACCTACCTCTTCTGGGACTGTACTTGGTCATTATGTAATATTTTAAGAAAGGCAAAATCCGGGTCTTCCAGTATTAAACCGAATTGCTCAACAGCTAGACAAACTAAGAAAGTATTTGAAGGGTCTGGGTGGAGATAGGAGATAGGGGTGTGGAGATCTTCACAGTATCCCCCTGGAAAAAACATGAAGGGACCCCTTAATGTTCTTGGAAAGACGCCTTTCCTCCCAGCCTGACATTGCCTCATCACGATTTATCAAAGGGTGGACAGGTGATATGGATTTTCTTATACTTTCTGTAAGATATTTTTTCCCAGCATTAACATCTCCACAGCAGCAAGGAAAAGTATAAAATACTTTTCCCACTCTGCTTCTACCCTGTTTTCATTTCTGCACTCCAAGAGAGCATTCAGATGAGTATCTGCAATAATATATACATAATACACACATTGAGACCTTCTTCATTTTCCTAGGTCCCAGGACACTTCCTGTCAAAGTTAATATTTCACCAACTCGTCCAAACATCATTCTTCAAACATGTTTTTCAGCCAAACTCTGTGGTCTACACCTTTTAGTACTATGTTGTTCAGTGAAACTTCTCTACATAAATGTTAACTGGTATACTAGATAGTAGTTGGCACTCCCTCCTAGTCATCCATGTTTTTTTTTTCTAGCACTTAGTTAGCCGAGAGCAGGGAGAGCAATGGTTTTCTAAGTGGTTGATCCTAACTATTGAATTGTGTTAGATTCTTTTAAAAATGTTTTTTTTTTCTAAATAAGTAGTCTTAACTGTTGAATTGTATTAGATTCTTTTAGGCAAATGGCTTTCTCTAATATTGATTTGGCAGGAGAATTTACCCTCCTGAAGATAAGTCACTGCTAGAGAAGTATGAAGGTTTGCTGACTGTGTCCTTTCAGACCTTCCTTTCAGGAAGGGCGTCTTCATTCCAGCGAGAACTGAACAACCCTCTGAAAAAGATGAAGGTGAGAGGATGCATGTTTGCAAAGAGAGGAAAGGAGAAAGCCAAAGAATATGTCTTTAATAAAGAACCATGTTATGGTTAAGGAAATGGCTCGGTGGGTCTAAGGGTGAAGACCTGATTCCAAATGCTCTACACCCATGTACAAAGCCGGATGTAACCACTTATGCTTCCTTAACCCCAGAGCTTTACAAGGAACAGACAAGAAGATCCTTGGGCCTTGCTGGCTGCCAACCTGGCTTAGTTCACCTGTCTCAAGGGAAGAGGGCAGAGTGATAGATGCAGAACTTTCCCTGACTTCTGAACACGCACGCTCGCTCGTGCGCACGTGCATACACACACACACACACACACACACACACACACACACACACACACACACAC